GGTGGCGGTCGGCGGCGGCCGCGGCCGAGGAAGTTCCCGCTTTGCACTCCACCCCGGTAGCAGCTTCGGGGCCGGGGACAGCTTCCTCTGGACGCTCCGGGGGCTTCGCTGCCGCCGCGCGGCGGTCGGACGGGACCATGGGGTTGCCCAAGGGGCCGGAGGGCCAGGGTCTCCCGGAGGTAAGGACTCCCCCCGCCCCCACTCCCTGACACGTCGGGGTTCCTGAAGGAGGGCCGAGCCTGCGGGGCCGCGGGCGCGCGGGGATCCGGCTGCGTTTAGGGCGCCCCGCTCCCTTCCTCAAGTGTGTCCACCGCCCAGTCGCTGGGGGCCCAGCAGCCCCCCTCCCCGCCGCGTGGGCGTGGACGGGGACGAACTTCAGCCGGTGCCAGCCTCCCGGGACGGAGGGAGCCTTCCCAGCCCAGTACCTGCCCCGTCTCAGCCGCGGGGCCCGGGGTCGCACCTCTCCGGCTCTCCCCGGCAGTCTCCCCGGTCCCCGGCGCCGCACGCCTCGCCCCGAGGACCCAGGCTGCTGCCCCCAGTGGTCACGAGACACGCGCTGTGAGATGGTCCGGGCTCGGGTTGTGCGAAGGGCGGTGACCTTGCGGCGCCTGCCGCGGCCTCTCGGGGCCCGCGGGGTCCTGGTGGCCGGCACCCGCCGCCGTGGAGGGAATGCCGCCCTGCGTATACCCCGGCGCCTGGCCGGGCCGGCGGGAGGAAGTTTGGGAGCCGTGCGCGCCCCGGGTCGTGTCGGGCCGGGTCAGCGCGCCGCTCTCTCCGGCGGCGCGGGGTGGCCAGGCGGAAATGTTACTGTTTCTCCAGAAGGTAGCGGTGCCTTCCTTTCAGAGGTGTTTGCTATTAAGTCCTCACTCGATCCTAGGCTACCGGATGACCAGTGGTTTCTGAATTTGCAAATTGGCTGGAAGGGGAAAGTGCATTTCCTTTTGGCTTCAAGTATCACTTAGATAGGTACTTTGTATCTATCTACTCTTCCAGTTGATTTACTCCAAAGCTAGTTTATCTTACTAGATTCTTGAAAGAAATGGAATCCATGCTGGACCTCTGTCCCCCTCCGAAGGTTCTGAAGCACACGTTTGGCAGAGGGACTGATTCCTGGACATGGTGCATGGTTCCTTCACACTTAGCTGCTTGTGGCCAATCTTGCTTCTTTGCCCCCCTCCCCAGATCCTCAGTTCTTAAATCCCGCAAGTACCCACTCATTGAGGGATCACTGTTATGTACATAAAAGCTGGGGCTATAGTGATGGGAGGATAGAAAGTCTGTCAGTGTGTACTCCCAGAATGCAAATCCATTTTATTATCTTAAGAAAACCTAGCTAGTGTAATGTCAGAACCCTTATGTTAGGTGAAGCCTGACATTCAGGTTGCTTTGATGGGACCAGGAACTGTGAAGACCAGAATCTGTACTGTGATTTGATGTGTTATTTCTTTTTTGCCTTCTTTATTCTAAGCTCTCATCAGGTTTTTGCCTGGCCTTTTGCTGTGGACTCCTGTCTGGCCTCCCAGATTCTACCTTAAATCTCTTCGATTCGTTGTCCCACAGTACTTTCTAAAATAAAAAGCAACTTGCTCTTGTTTGTCCTTTGTTTAACCCTTCACTGTCAGGAGACTGGGTCTGATTTGTCACTTTTCTAAGTTCCTGGCAATTAGGAGGTAGACAAGGTGAATATAATCCAGTTATTATCTTTTCGTTCAAAGACCAGTTCATATGAATATGGATGGTCTATGTAATTAAGCTGTCACTAGTCCGGTTAATTCATTAAATTCAATTTTTAAACCCTTTAGATTTGTGAAGGATAGAAAGGTAGCTAGACCTGGCCCTGCCTTCCAGCCTACATGAGCTGCAGTACAAGACAATTGACAATTTAATGTGCCTGATGTAAGAGCTCAAAGTCATTCATCTGTATGAGAATTTTAGTTTTAACAGTTGCCTGTATTACCCAGACTGGTGACTTTTTCTAGCTTCAAAAGAGGATATTCTTCCATTCCCTGTGTATTAGCCAATGACCCTTCCACATTTTTAGTTTTAATCTGTGAAGCGAAGTTGGAGTCGTGTTAACATTCTCCATTCAGTGTCTTGCGCCAAAGTTATTTCACAAAGTGAATTGCAAAAGTACACTTCTCCATTCTGGGGGTGAGCGGGTGGGAAGCCTGGGTCCTGCATCTGCCATGGTGTGGTCCATAGGTGCCCATTAGGTACAAGGTGAGGCAGGGATGGTCCTCCTGGATGATCTTGTCCTCTTCTTGGAACTGTTTTCATGATCAATGATTTAACAACAATAAGTGAAGGGGTCCTGTTTTACCTCCCAGGTGTTTTAAGGAAATACTTATGTTGTCCCACTCTCCTCTTCTATTCCATTTTTGTGAACTGTAACTGTTCTTTATTTTCTCTTTTCTTTGAGTGTCTTTCTAGAGACTACTTATAGATGTTTTTCAACCACTGCAGGTCTTTTGCCAAGGAAGAGAAGGTGTGAAAATTAATATTTATTTTTGCATGTCTCCTGGGAACTAGTGAATGCTAACCTTCAGAATCTTTGATAGGTCATACTAGAGTCATTTGAGAGGGAAGTGAAATGAGCAGTGTCACAAGGCTGTCCCCTTCACTGCCACCACCACACCACCATTGAAAAGAGTTAACAGTCACTTTAATAATTCCATGTTCTACTGCGTGTTGACAGGTATACTCCATCTCCTGGCAGTTTGTGCTTTAAAATAAACTTGAATCTCCATTATCAGTGTCATGACTATGAGAACATTTTGTTAACACCTGACTGGCTTAGGTCATGCACTTTAGGTAATAATTGAGCATGTTATTCCATGTTGAATAAGAGTGTCCTTGGAGCCTAATGCTGTTTCAGATGAAAGGAGTAAACGTGGGTGGATAATATATGGACTGTATGAACCAGCTAATAGTCCATTTGGAAAGACAGGCACGTAGGTTAACACCAGACCATGTCACTCATAAGAGGGTGAGATTTAATTGTATGAATGACCCGGAAGCTAAAGAAACTAGAAATGCGGAGGAGTGACCATGTGAAGCTGCAGGGTTGACCTTGAATTGGTACTCGAACGTGAAGATGGTTTCTGGGCACTTAGAGAACACCAGGAGAGCCGTATAGAAGTGGGAATGAGCAGTGTTTGTCTAAATTGGCCACCGCTGTGTGTGGATCATTTTGGGGGCAGGTAAAGGATGCAGCTGAAAAGATAGGTTTCGGCCAAAGCACCAAATACCAAACTAAGACATTTGGAATTTATCTGGTAGACATTGTATGATGCCTTAATGAGGGGGGGCTGGGTGCAGAGCTGTAGAGGGACGATGAGAAGGCTGTGATTTAGGAGAGAATGAACAAGACAAACCTGGAAGACAAAACAAGAGGCAATTGCAGTAGTCCTGGCATGACATGTAAAGAGAAGGGAAGGGAGGGGAAGCGTGAGATCTGTAGTTAAGGAAGATTCAGCAGGCGTCATTGGATCAGGGAGTAGTTAGAGGTGGGCACAAGGATTTGAACCAGGATACCTTGGTGGTGTTTTAGGCAGAAAGGAGGTTTTTGATTTTCTGTAATAATGGGAGAGAGAAAGGCACAATTTAGGAAAGTAAATGGAGGCAAAAGTACTGGGATATTTAGATGAAAGTATCAATAAAACCGGGGAGTGAAGTTAGGATATAAATTAAAATGTTTAAATCAAATCCCTATTTGAATATATTGAGTGAATTTGTTATTTTTAAGGCAATTCTGTTACATGGCAGTAATTGCCCTGTAATATATCTGGGTTGAAAGCCTTCCTTATATTTGCTTCTGAGCAAAAAGTGCAGAGGGACCCATGTTTGAATTCTTTACGCTTGCCCCTCTTGTCAGTAACTTCTAGGACTAAGATGAATATAAAAAAGAAGAAAATAAACCAGCTGTTCCATCTGAAAGTTTATAATCGAGTCAGGAAGCCTGTCCTGTAAGCTGTGTGTTTGAGAACTGGGAGGTAATGTTCTGTAATCATCCTTTCCCAGGACTCCTCCTCCTTCAGCACCAGATGGACAGCCCAGACTACCTGTACGTGTCTTCTGCCCCCACCTCTAACGAGTAACAGCTTGTTGAGGCCCAGGGACCCTGTTCCATGTGACTCCCACAGCACTGTGTCCCCAGGCTCCTGTGTGAACGCAGTGATGCAACCAGTGTCACCTGCTCCTTGGCAGTGAGGTTGTGGCATCAGAGAATACACCTGGTGTTCCTTTATTCAGGGTAGCTTTTACCAGCCTAACTGTTACCTTTTGTTTTAGGTGGAAACAAGAGAAGATGAAGAACAAAATGTCAAGTTGGCTGAAATTCTGGAGCTTTTGGTTGCAGCTGGGTATTTCAGGGCAAGAATTAAAGGCTTGTCACCTTTTGACAAGGTAAGAGGAGGTCTTTCTAACGAGAAGACTGTCGTTTGTCAGGATGGCATGGTTTACTGTGGAAAGGAAGAAGAGATTGTGTTTTTACTTTCTCTATGCCCATGTTGTCATTTCTCCCTAATTCAGATTTGTTAGGGAAGCATTAAAATTTCCTATTAAAATAATCATGTATCAGTAGATGCACCTTGAGGTCCCTTCTCTGTGCCCGATGCTCTGGGAAATACATATAAGCAAAATAAATAGTTCCTTATTTCAAGGAACTTAAAGTTTAGGTCGGGAGATAAAGCTTATGTCAGATAAAATAATCCGAGTTAATAAGGAGCTGTCCCAAGTCAGGGTGCTCACAGACGGCTGCCAGAGCTTCTCTGGATGGATGGTAAATGCTGAGTTTGGAGGAGGGAGAAGTCACCATGGGATGAAGTCCTTTATTTCAGCAGAACCTTGAATGACTGTTATGCACAAGGCAGAGTAGTAGGTGTCAGGGGCACAGAGGTAAGAACAAAGGCCTTGTACTCAAAGAGCCTAGCTTCTAAAGAGTAGGGAAGAGAGACAAGTAAGCCAGCCCATGTAGAATAAATGGCACAATTCGCTAAGTGCCACGGCGACCATACACATTAGTGAACTGTCCAGATCGGGCAGGGCAGGCCTGGAAAGCTTCCTGGTGGAGGAAAGCGTTGAGTCCTCCAGTGGGCCACAGCCCCGGCTGTGCGTCCCAGAGTTTGTAATACATATGTCTAGGCCTCTCCCACTGGAATTCTGGTTAGTTAGGTCTGGACCGGGGACTGGAATCTGTATTTTATGAGGCATCTCACCTAAGTCTGCAGTATAGCCAGGGATAAGATTCACTGTGGTCTTCTAATATCAAGCTGTACCTGAAAAAGTTTTGTTTCAACATGGATTTTTAGCCTTAGCCTCGTTGGCATCTCAGGGAGATCCTGTGACAAACTAGAGCAGGGATTCTCATCTCCTTTAGGTAGAGGGAAAAAAGTGAGATGTATGGGAATTAAGTAACGAGCCACAAAATGTCACCCTTGCCACTCACATATCCGGTCCATAAAACACAGAATTCCTCTGGAATCTGGCACTTGCCTGTAACTGGATTCAGACTTGTCTCAGCTGAATTAATGTCTGTCCCCATTGGTATCAGGAGGATCCATGCATCGTATGTCCATTTCGTCATAAAAGTCAGCTTCTCAGCCCACTGGCCACATTCCAGGTGCTCTGCAATCACGTGTGACTAGCGGTACTGGATGGGGCACTCAGAGACAGAGCGTTCCCATCTCTGCAGGAAGTTTTGCTCAGCAGGGCTGTGTAGGTGAACTGTGGTAGACGGAGCCAGGACACAATTGTCTCTCTCTGCAGACACATGATTTTGTATGTTCATCGAATCTGCCAAAACTATTTATGTTTTATCTGCCTTTCGCTTCTTCCCCTCTTCCCAAACCAGGACGAGCAAACGGGTATTTTGTGTGTGTGTGTCTTGCAGGTGGTAGGAGGAATGACCTGGTGCATCACCACTTGCAACTTTGACGTGGATGTTGACTTGCTCTTTCAGGAGAACTCTACGATAGGTCAGAAAATGTAAGTTATCAGCGTTTGCCCTGGAAGAGCCTCAAGGGGGAGAAAAGAGCTAACTCTTGAGCACGTGCTGTGTGCCAGAAGTGGTGTTAGACACTGTGCGTATTTTGTTTCAGTTTTCATTACAAGGGATATGACTGCTGTTTAACAGATTGCAAAACTGAGACAGAAAGAAGCCAGGGCCACACAGCTAGCATGTAAGAGTCACCTGATGTTATTATAACGTTACATACGCTACTTCCAGTGCTTTTTCTTGATCAGAGTTTCCAGTGACTGCTTGGTGTGTCCCTTTCCAAAGGTAGCGAGTTTGGATGGAAGTTAAGTAGCTGAGGGGAGAGGAATCCTTCCCTCTCCCTTGCCTCTGCTTAAGGCAGAGCCTCACTTTGTCTCCCATCAAGTGGAGGTAGCCTGAACTCCTTGCACAAGTTGTCACCGGAGGGCACCCCGGCTGGTCTTCCCTTGCTCACCAGAGCCTTGGTGATTTCATGAGGGCACTGGGGATCCCCAGTTCTGCCCAGCCCTACCAATGGGCAGCTGTGTGACCTGGGACAAGCCTCGGTTCCCTTATCTGTAAGAAGGAGGGTTTGTGATCCCAGATCTGTGTGCTTCTGTGACTGACTTAGTCATTTTTCTGAAGCCTCCTCCTCCTCCAGATGGATTAAAGATGATTTACAGATATGCCTGGGGAGCAGTAATAGTGGAAGAGTGAAGCAAAGACAAAGCAAAGCTAAAGGGAAAAAAAAAAGGAAACAAAAGGCAGGGTTGGGATAAGAAATACACCTGTAAGGGGCCGGCCACAAGGCTCGTTTTCCTAAGGGTGGAACACAGATTTGGCTCTAAGCTTCCTGGCAGCCAGCAAAAAGAGGAGAACGTGCTAAAGTATCCAATATACAGTTTCCATACAGTAGAAGAAAAATCGGTCCCTAAGAATCACAAATTCTTAACACTAGGAGTAAAGGCATCTCTAGGCTCCTTGTTAAGGAGGCCGTGCAGTTTGACACGGTGGTACTGTCATCAGTGCTCTGCATCCTAACAGCTGCGTGTGGGACCACGGCATCCCATCCAGCCACCCGTAATGAGACGTCCTCCCATGGGAGGCGGTGTGATGGAGTCCAGGTGGGTGGCCCTGCTTCCTACTGGGCCAGCTCAATCCGGAGGTAGATTTGTGTTCTTGTCCTTTTGTTTATTTTTATTTAGGTGTTGAATACATAAAGGTTAAAAAAAATTCAAATGCCACCTAACGGAGCAAAAC